CGCGCCCGCGCCGCCACCCCGGCTCCGCGCTCGCCTCCTGCGGGGGCTGGGCCCAGGCGGAGCCCTCCGGCGGCAGGGCACCGCGCCCCACCTCGCCAGGCCCGGGTTCTATGGCACAGGTCACCCACGGGCAGTCCTCTCCAAGGGCTGTGAGGGGCATCGTGGGGCATGGGGACCCTGCCTCTAGACCACCCCCAAGTCCTGGCTCTTATGGTCAGACTGCAAAGGCCTGGGTTTGGAATTGGAGCCGCCAGCTCTTTTCACTAGAACTGTGGAGAGAACATCTCCCCACCCCAGCGGTCTTTGTGGGGATTCAGGGGATCAGCGGATAATCTCTCGGAAGGAGCCCCTAAAAGCAGGCGGAGCAGGGAATCGCCCCACTCAGTGCTAAGGCCTCCTGCGAACAGGGATTCCCCAGCTCCAGGACCCTGCCTCCAGCCCCCAGCCCTGAACTCCTGACTTCTCGCAGGTGGGGAGAGGGACGGGAGGAGTGAGAGGTGGACAGGGAGGGGTGCTCTTGGGAAGGTGCAGGAGTAGCACCTCCAGCCCGGGAGGTCTGATCCCTCAGGGGCAGGTGGAGGTGGCCACTGGCCTTCCCGCTGCCTCGGTTAACTGGGCTCAGCCCTCCTGCAGCCCCGACCTGCAGCCCAGCCAGAGGGGGCATTCTGACGGAGCAGCTGGCAGAGTCACAGGTGCCCTGTCCTGCTGGGTTCTCCCCCACGCCTCCCCTAGGGGCTGGAGAAGGTGCTCTCTGTTCTCTGGAGGAGGAAGAACCAAAGTTCTGGGAGAAAACCTGCCCCTTGCCCGCTTGGGGCTTAGGGTCCTCCTCCTGGGGGCGGGGATGGTGGGTGGAGGGAAGATCCCAGGGGACAGCCTCGGGCAGGCAGCCTTGGTGGGTGCCTCAGTGCCCTACAACCTGAGGGGTGAAGGCCAGGCAGGAAGCCCTGCCCGCAAGCCTCGGGCATGCTGGATATCCCTCAGGCCTCACCAGAAAGGTGCAGGCCAGCTGTCCCGTCCTTGCCCAGGGGCACAGGCGACACCAACACCTGGGGCAGCATCAGGAGGAAGAAAAGGGTCCCTGGAGTGCTTGGGGACATTCTGGAGCGTTTGGAATAGGACCCGTGAGAAGCCACCTCGGTGTCTGAAGATGTGGTGACCCCAGTGGGAACGTGGGAACCGGAGTCTCTCAGTGGTCCTGGTTACCAGGCAGTGTTCCCTTGAGGGTGACCCAGGTCTCACTGAGTTGCTTAGCGCCTTGCTTTTTGCTGAGGCTGCATTTGAACTTGCGATCCTCCTGCCTCAATCTCCTGAGCTGCTGGGATTATAGGCGTGCATGGCTGTGCCCTGCTCCACTGAAATTCTTATCAAAAGAATGTGGCTCCACGTGTAGTTGTGAAAAGTAACACAGAGACTGGTGGGGCTCAGTGGCGGAGTGTATGCTGTGCCTGCAAGAGGCCCTGGGGTCAAATCCCAGTACCATAAAAAGAAAAGAGTGGCAGATTTCACGCCCACGTGGCTCAGTTCACAGCAGTGGTAGCTTTCTCCAAAACTAGCACAACGTGAGAGCCGGCATGCTGACCTGGATGGAGCCCACAACCTTGTTCAGATGGCGGGGCTCTACCTGGTCTCTCCGGGTAGGTTTGGTGTGTGTGGTTCCTTTCCTGGGTCGGTGCCCGCGTGCCCACAGTGCAGGTCTCACAGCAGGGTCTTGGCCTTGCCCTGTGGTAGCCACGCCCACCGCCCTCCACTGTGGGCCTTCTTCACTCAGAGGTGTATTGGGAGCAGCTCTAGGGACTGGTGGCTCTTGCCCCTGAGCCTTGCTTCCCTATTCTGGTGGCCCGTGTGTGAGCAGCTCAACCTACCTCCAGGGTAGGCCCTCTCCCCTCTTAGGACCTGTAGCTGGGGCTGGAGGAGGGGCCCGTTCAGACTAGGTTTCCCCAGAACCAGGGGACCATGGCCAAGGGCAGAGGGAACAACGACCAGTTCCTTCTGTAGTCTGCTCAATTTTTATTTCTCTCAACTAATTTCCTCCTCTTCCCCTTCCTTTTTGCAGCGCTGAGGATTGAACACAGGGGCTTGTGCGTGCAAAAAGCAGGCTCTCCACTGAGCTACATCCCTAATCTTTCCTTTCCTTACTATTCTACATAAAGTATGTGACTCAGGGATACTGTGTGGTGTTGTGCAGGCTGCACACTGAACAACTCCAAGAGGGCACTGTTGTAAAGTCTAGAGTGTGAATGATACCAGAGCAGCTGTGCCTCCGGGGGCCCTGGGTGTATTGGAGGTGAGTGAGTTTATCATTTAGTCTGGTGGGATTGCCACTCAAAAGAGGAGTGATGGAGAAGAATCAAGGTTTTTTTTTGTTGTTGTTGTTGTTTTGTTTTTTGAGGATGAAGGTATAATGTGTATTTGGGGCAAATCTTCATTACATTAGGTGGAAGCTGCTTCTGCTCTTTTTTTTTTTTTTTTTTTAAAGAGAGAGTGAGAGAGAGAGGGACAGAGAGAGAATTTTAACATTTATTTATTTTTTCTTAGTTCTTGGCGGACACAACATCTTTGTAGATATGTGGTGCTGCTGAGGATCGAACCCGGGCCGCACGCATGCTAGGCGAGCGCGCTACCGCTTGAGCCACATCCCCAGCCCCGCTGCTTCTGCTCTTGATTCTGTGTATAGAAGGGCATATACATGCTCTGTATCAGTGGGTGTGGTGGCACACACCTGTAATCCCAGCTACTTGGGAGTCTAAGGCAGGAGGATCACAAATTGAAGGCCAGCTTCAGCAAGGCCCCTGTCTCAAAGTAAATTTTGAAAAGGCATTAGGCTGGGGCTGGGGCTCAGTGGTCCCGCACTTGCCTCGCAGGTGTGAGGCCCTGGGATTGATCCTCAGCACCACATTAAAAATAAATAAATAAATACAATAAAGGTATTGTGTCCATGTACAACTTTTTTTTTTTTAATTTTTAATATTTATTTTTTAGTTCTCGGCGGACACAACATCTTTGTTGGTATGTGGTGCTGAGGATCGAACCCGGGCCGCACGCATGCCAGGCGAGCGCGCTACCGCTTGAGCCACATCCCCAGCCCCCATGTACAACTTTTTAAAAAAAAGTTTAAAAACAGCCTGAGGATGTAGCTCAGTGATAGAGTGCTTGCCCAGCATGTGGGACGCCCTGGGTTCTTCCGTCCCCAGTAGCAAGCTTGCGTGGGCGCGCGCACGCGCGCGCACACACACACACACACACACACACACACACACCCAACACTCAGTATCTCGCTGGTTATCAGCTGGCTATCAGCGCCTCCATCTGTTGTCTGGCTGGTCAG